CATCATGCAAATATAATAAGCATATTTATTATGAGTAGAGATTGATGAATCTCAGACATGAATCGATTGGTATAAAGTCCTGTTAAGCTGATAAAACTGATGATGTCACCAGCTGATACTGCTGACACAGGAACAGCCCACACAGTTTATTATTTTTAATTAGCTTTGTTCTTGCTGCTGGACTTGGCTGCATCGCTTATGATTCCATATCCCAAGCCCATAACACATGTACTGTACATTGTTGCGATGAAACTAGAGGTGAGTGAGGTTAAAGAATGTGTGATAAGGGAAAAAATGCCCAGAAAAGATATTTGTAAGTCATGTGGTCTCAGTTTTTGTTTTTTAACAGCGTTATTTCATTGTCCCCCAGACAGTAGTAGACATATGAAAATGTACACTGATCAGCCATAACATTATGACCATTTAATGCTCTGATCACAGTGCATCTTGTGTGAATCTGTTTGCTAACATAGTTGGACTGTATAAAAGAGCATGAATTTGTCCTCCATTTTGTGATTAAAAATATGTTAAAAGAGTGAAAACTGGACGTGAGGACAAGTTAGAGATTTTTTTTAAATTTTTTTAAGACCCGATTCTAGGTGTGATATCACCACTATAACTGCTAAGTGTTTCTCTTGATAGAGACCAACGTACAGTATTTCGCCTTTTTAACCATTTTAACAAAGATTCAAACAAAAGGAATTTTTTGAAAAGAATGAATCATAGGTGTAGTGCTCCTAGGACACACCAGAACGATGCTCTACCACAAGAGAGGAGAAAGAATCATCCTATTGGCATAATCAGATTGAAATTCATAATGTTGCATTGTAATTGGTGAAGTGCATGTTGTGCTAATTGGAATGTTCTATGTTGTGATACCAAAATTTAGGGTGTGGTGATTGATTCAGAGCGTCGACTCAAACAGTGCGCACTCCGATGCACAAAATTGACACGCTCGAGTGTTTGTGTATTTTGTCCAATCACATAATGTGGAGGTTCACAGCGACACAGTTTAGTGTTGACTACAGACCTGTATACAAAAGAGAAGTGACAGAATGAAATCCAGATCAGCCAGACAGACAAATTAGGGTGTAATCTCCAGGAGGGGCCATGGAGACAAGCGTCAGATGCAAAAACGGACTTTAATTTCAGTGATACTGGGATTTAAACAGGCTGTTTTTGTGTGAGAAGTGTCCCCTAGCTGGTGCCCTGTAGAGATTATGCCATAATAATAAATTATCTATGGCTCCCTGTGACAAATGTTCACTAATTCATAGTTATTGTGCCACACCAGAGGATAAAGTCAGTCTAACATTTGATCATGTGGGCAATTACAGTTGCCACTAGAGGAAAAGTGTTTACAGGTGCTGGTCATATAATTAGAATATCATCAAAAAGTTGATTTATTTCACTAATTCCATTCAAAAAGTGAAACTTGTATATTATATTCATTCATTCATTACACACAGACTGATATATTTCAGATGTTTATTTAAACCCCAAATTCGGGATCTCAGAAAATTAGAATATTACTGAATACCAATACAAAGAAAGGATTTTTAGAAATTTTGGCCAACTGAAAAGTATGAACATGAAAAGTATGAGCATGTACAGCACTCAATACTTAGTTGGGGCTCCTTTTGCCTGAATTACTGCAGCAATGCGGCGTGGCATGGAGTCAGTCAGTCTGTGGCACTGCTCAGGTGTTATGAGAGCCCAGGTTGCTCTGATAGTGGCCTTCAGCTCTTCTGCATTGTTGGGTCTGGCATATCGCATCTTCCTCTTCACAATACCCCATAGGTTTTCTATGGGGTTAAGGTCAGGCAAGTTTGCTGGCCAATTAAGAACAGGGATACCATGGTCCTTAAACCAGGTACTGGTAGCTTTGGCACTGTGTGCAGGTGCCAAGTCCTGTTGGAAAATGAAATCTGCATCTCCATAAAGTTGGTCAGCAGCAGGAAGCATGAAGTGCTCTAAAACTTCCTGGTATACGGCTGCATTGACCTTGGACCTCAGAAAACACAGTGGCCCAACACCAGCAGATGACATGGCACCCCAAACCATCACTGACTGTGGAAACTTTACACTGGACCTCAAGCAACGTGGATTCTGTGCCTCTCCTCTCTTCCTCCAGACTCTGGGACCCTGATTTCCAAAGATAATGCAAAATTTATTTTCATCAGAGAACATGACTTTGGACCACTCAGCAGCAGTCCAGTCCTTTTTGTCTTTAGCCCAGGTGAGACGCTTCTGACGCTGTCTGTTGTTCAAGAGTGGCTTGACACAAGGAATGCGACAGCTGAAACCCATGTCTTTCTGTGCGTAGTGGTTCTGGAAGCACTGACTCCAGCTGCAGTCCACTCTTTGTGAATCTCCCCCACATTTTTGAATCAGTTTTGTTTCACAATCCTCTCCAGGGTGCGGTTATCCCTTTTGCTTGTACACTTTTTTCTACCACATCTTTTCCTTCCCTTCGCCTCTCTATTAATGTGCTTGGACACAGACCTCTGTGACCAGCCAGCCTCTTCTGCAATGACCTTTTGCGTCTTGCCCTCCTTGTGCAAGGTGTCAATGGTGGTCTTTTGGACAACTGTCAGGTCAGCAGTCTTCCCCATGATTGTGTAGCCTACAGAACTAGACTGAGACACCATTTAAAGGCCTTTGCAGGTGTTTTGAGTCAAATAGCTGATTAGAGTGTGGCACCAGGTGTCTTCAATATTGAACCTTTTCACAATATTCTAATTTTCTGAGATACCGAAGTTGGGGTTTTCATTGGTTGTCAGTTATAATCATCAAAATTAAAAGAAATAAACATTTGAAATATATCAGTCTGTGTGTAATGAATGAATATAATATACAAGTTTCACTTTTTGAATGGAATTAATGAAATAAATCAACTTTTTGATGATATTCTAATT